TTTAAATTTTTAATTAAATTTATTAAATTTGGGTGAATTTTATAATACACATTTCAATGGAATAGAACTCTGTATCGAAATATGTGACTGCAAAATGTAACTCCGCAGTGGAAAATAAATTGAACCTAAAACTCCATTAGAATTTCTTACTTCTATAATCGATAAAAATTAAGCTCGCTTCGCCACTGATTATAGACTTCCTGACATATATTAAAAGTATCGTGGAAATATTTTACTTACAAATACGTAATGGATAAATAACTGCATATTTATAGGGCAATCGATCAATGTGGCAACGAAATACAGACATTTAACATAACTTGTTGATTATTATGTTAAATCAATACGAATCTATACTCATAAACATATTTTTTAAGTTTTACATATAAATAAACTACAGTGGAAAAATAGAATTATTTTGCCAGATCAATACGGCTCTGACAACAACGCTAGCAAAGAAAGTAAACCCAAATTCCCGCATTTGAATTACCCATATAAATGTAAATCAGCGTCATTTTTTACATACAAAATTAATTGCCAGCGGTGCAAGCATTGGGCTGCCGCTCATAGATCAATCAAGCTCAAATTTCTCATGAACATTATCTGGTATATATCATCAATGCATTTCGTTAGTATAAGACCAGTGAATTATACGCACTTTCACATTAGGGGACAAAAAATCGAAATAATTTAAGAGACATTTTAACATGTTTTTGTTGTTATTTTACGTTATCACTAAAAATATAGTAAAATTGTAAAGGTAAAGCCTTTACCAATGTTCTAATTAAGCCAAAATGTTGAAAATTAAGTCATCCATAATAAAGTCGAACAAAGCGTGACTTCCTTCTCAATATCAAATGTAACTGACCCAAAAAACCCCGGCTACTGACTGTATGTATGTTCAATTAACTAACCATCAAGATAATGTTTAATTTTTTTTGTCACTGATACCGACATTCATTTGAATGCGGCTACACGAACAGAACATGCATTAAACATTTTAATTTGGCAAACAAGTTTTGAATAGTAGGTATAGAAAACCGAACCGGAAAAAACCCAGACTTTTTAATAGATGACAAGGTTTCAATAACAATAGTTTTGATGGATTAGCGATCATTTTCAATAATCAATAAAAAATCAAGCTAAATTCATTTGGTTTCTTTCAACATTAATTAGATGGCAAGTCGTTTAAAAGATGTAAGTACTACCTACAAATTTCCGATCAATTTCTTTGGAAAATTTATTTCAGTCTGAAAAAATCAATCTGAAAGCAAACAGGGTGTGCGAAAATAATGCGCAAAAGTTCTACGGGTGGTTCGAAATAAAAAAATTATGACTCAAGTTCATATGGCAATTTTCCGAAACCCGAAAAATAACGTAACTGCTTTATTAAATAATTTCTTTGAATAATGTGGCTCAGTATGAGCCATCCAAGAATGATATTCATCCCTTAGTGGCCTGAAGCCGAAATCATCATTAATGGAAAAAATTATGAGAGATTTTTTTACTGACTAACAAAGCACAAAACGAATAAAAAACACCCCAAAAAGTTGTGAAGCATATCTTGGAGTGTATCAATTGCGGCTCATCTCCACGAAATTGAAACATTTTCACACATTTCGATATAAATGCTATAATATAATTGAAATATTATAATATTATATATATAGTTCAATTTTAACTAAATTTTATAATAGTTTCACAATACTCAAAGAGCTTGGACTCCTTGGAAAAATAGTCCCTCTTTGTTTAATTTCCACACACCTGTTAACAATCAGTGCGGTATGCTAAAGTCCCAAAGAGACCCAAAAGAAAAAAATCCACCGGGTTTAAAACGGATGACCTAAGATGCGATCACTTCTATAAGACGGCACCAGGATGTTGAAACCTGTTAGCGTTTGTAAAATAGAAGTTCACTGCGTTATGAATTTATTGAAATTCTTCCAGTTGTAATCAACATGTCAACTTCTCTCTTATCAATACATATTTCTTCCTTCTATTTTGTGTGTCTACGTATTTTTACAAACAATGTGTCCTGACAGTGCACATTTCTGATACCAAGTAGACAACAACTTCGAGATTTTTTTGCTTGTTTTTCATAATTTTTTTTGCGCAAATCCGCCAAAACGCAATCCAGTCAGTACTTCTATTACATGATATGTTTCCACGCTCATGTTGTTATGACTGAACCGATTTTTGGATTTTATATCCAACGATGCCAACACGAACTCTGTGGCTCAGTTGGGGCTTGAGAAACTTAAAAAAAAAACAGCGAATCTTGATATCAAGACTTTTTGAGAAAACTGCCAACATGTTCTTATCGATTGTTCACTTTCTAAAAAGGCCATTTATTTCTCTCTGGAATGATGCAAGAATGCTCATTTTGCTTCCGAGAAATTAGCAAAAACGAGATGGAAACATGAAATTTTGGCATAATCTTGGACCTAAGTGCCTGATATTCAAATTCCGCTTTCTGAGTTAGAACTACTCAAATTTCCTCACTCATATTGTTATGACTGGATCGAATTTTCAATTCTCTATCCCATCATGTCAATACGAATTATGTGGCTCAAATGGTTCTTGATAAACTTCGAAAAAAAGCAGCGTCATTGAGTCGATTTTGCAACGCAAAAAACAACACGCAAATCTAAAACTTCTTGAAATCAAGCCTTTTTTTTGAGAAAAGTGCCAACATTTTCTTATCGATGGTTAACTCTAAAAAGGGCATTTAGTTCTGTCTCAAATGATGTAAAAATGAGCGGGACGGAAAACATGAAATTTTTATAGTCAGTTTCTAAGTTGCAAGAAAATTTGAAGACAAACGTACAAAACATCAAATCTAATAAAATATTTAGGAATTATGCCATTAAAAGAATAAAAATAATTTTCGATTTATGTGAGTTTAGAAATGTAATCCCAAGTGCTTTTATTGTTTATGTTGATTAAATGCCTCCGTTTTTAGATTTTGCGACGAATAGGTAGGTAAATAATATTTCAAATAAGTTGATAAACATTTTAAATTAGCATAATTTCTTGTTGAAATGCTCCTTATTCGATTACTAATCCAAACACGTTCTAGTTAAATTTTAACACTAATTAAGCATAATAAATTATATTGAAATTTGGCCCTATTGAGGAATTAACCGTTACTTCATTATACCAGGTGTGCCCAGGCATTTTCCGCTAGATGTTATCTTTTATATTGATTAATTATTATATTCTACAGGTACTTAAAACACATCGAATCTAGTCTATCAGCAATAATCAGTAGTGCAATATCAGGCAATAATTACAAATTTAATTTTTTCAATCACTTAAGGCAAATTTTACCAGAGGCCATAAATAAGCCCAGATATCGATTACCTACATTAGTAGTTAAGTTGCATCGTTTTTTCAACGATAAATCTGTTATTAGTCACGTAAACAATAGAAGCATGCATGCAAATAATGTTCTATGAATGGATAATTGAGTTATAGCGTGTAAATGGATTTAAGACGGCGTAACATTTCCATTTCAAAGGCGGTTTGACGAACAAGAAACATATCAAATCAATTAACTATTAATGATGCTTAAGAAAACGACGTGCTAGTAGCCAGGCTTCGAAAAATCTTGTACTTTCGTATAATAGTTGAATTTCAACAAACTTTTTTGCATATAGGTAACACGTGTGTTTAAATGCTGAGTACATGTTGCAAGAAGTTAATTTAAACTGCAACTTAACTTGCTGCTTTTCAATAACAAACCGAAATCAGCCGTAGGTGTACATTATTTTAAGTTATGTTTCTGTTTATGTTTAAAGCAGAATTTATATTTGTTAAGAATACATTTTCTGGTTCTAGTACTAAAAAACGAAATAGTTTAATATCGTTGAAGTAGGTAGAGGTAGAGACAAGAAGAATATTATCTTACTGTGTTCTACTTATTTAATCAAAACTGAATAAACTAGTATGTCGAACATTTAGCCAAAAGTTTAGTTCTTTCCAAGCTCTAAGGAATAAAAAATAGAACCAGACAAAGAAATTTTGAAACTCCTCAAGCAAGGAGCAAATAATATTATAAATAAATCTTACTCCCCCTCCTTTATTAAACTCCAATATTCATATTGGATACATTTCAGACAGCAAAATTTCTCATCAGAACCACGCTCTATAAATTAATCCTGACTGTGCTGATTAATATATCTGTGATTATAAGAAGCAATGTGTCTTTGAGATGTATACAATCTAATAGAAGATTAATTAAGATAGATTACAAGTTGATGTAGGTATTAATAGAAGCTAACGCAATCTGGGTTATGTTCCTGGTAAGATCAAATATAGTCTACAAAAATTAGTTTATTGAAATTTGAAATAACTGTTACTTTGAACTTTCAATAAATATGTGAAATTTCGTCATTAACTATTAGTGTTTGTTTCAATCTAAGGTGAAACAATATTCGGAAATAGCTTTGGTGTTGACAAATGAATCAGTTATTCAAATAAGTATCTTTTCGTCAAACGAAATGCAATTTCTTATCTACTTAAATCCTGTTTGCAAATTGTAAAAATAATCGTATTATTGATAATGATTGTTAATAATCTCATAGGTGTGACGACATTTTTACAATTACAAAACCGTAAGGAAATTATTCGGGAAAACGATTAACATTTTACAACCCGCATCAATAAACAATTAGATCAGGTGATTTTTACGAGGAAAAATATATTTAGAATTAGGACTAACATAACATTTTCTCATCTCAAACCAGATGTTTTCAACCTGTTAGCAAGTTCAAATTTATAGCTATGCAGTAATGCACTAAATCTGACTTGATTACGACCAAGTTGTTTATGAGAATCAGTTCATCCTACACTAATTTAAATCAATTGAAAGTAAGCAAGCAATTAGCAGTTCCATCCTCAGGATCAATAATATAAAAAAAATTTTTTTTGATGCCAGTAGAAAATTGAAATTTGCTCGGTACTTATATTGTCACTTATTAATGTAATTGTTGTTACAGAATTACGACATGGATCCTCAAATCGAGGGATTTAATAGTACAAATGTAACATCAGGACCTATAATATTGGCAGATAAAAAAACATTGTTCATACCAGACTTCCGCTATTTGGGAAAAGACGACAATATAGAATTTCATGCTCTAACTGAAGACAGTCCATATAGTAATTCAACTACGAAAGTTCCCAGTGAATACATTCCTCAAGGTAAGAGTTTAATTTTCAATTAAGAAGCAGCTTGATTTATTTAAATCCTGTTTAAAAAATAATTTTAAATTAACTAACGCATTGTATTTTAACTAGTTCAGTTAACAGTTAAATATTTTATGTAAAGCACAACACATTTATTATGGTGATAATAGAAGGACAGCAATAAGTCAGTTTATTTTCAGCAACATCCATGAATTTTTATGTGATTTTACCCGAAGTTATCACTCTAGATAACATAAAGTCTTTCCAAGTGAGGTTGAAAAACCAACCATTAGACTATGTAATTTTTGACGGGGTAAATAAAAGTGCTATCAAAGAATTCAGCACAAGAACAATGGTAAGTTAGGCTTTTTAGTAAGAACTGCACTTTATGAAAGAAATTTGCAAATGTTTTATATTCACTAAAATATATTTATTCCGTTAATACAATATTTGTTCCAGGAAGACTCAATATTCAGAGTCCCCAAGTGTTGTGCAGCTGATGAGTATTTAAACGATACGTTGCGGATTTGTTCAAAAGCGCTATTTTCAACAGATCTGGATATGAACATTTTTGAGAGCAACGAAACAGGATTGGATCCAGACATTTCACTGGAACGTGCCGAATACAAATTAATACCATATTATCAGGCACTGATGTGTAAAAGCAACGAAGTTAGGTAAGACATTGCTGGTTTCAGCAGATAAAGAAGAAAGTATCAGTTTTTGACCAGATTTCTTGTATCTCAACTTAAAAATGGTATTTGCTTAATTCTGTGAAGCTATATGAACATACAACATTTCATAAAACGAATCTCTATTTTAATAAAACTCTTGGTTTATTACCTCGAAGCTACCCTTTATGGGAAAATACCTTGAAAATCCTGTCACGGATTCTACATAAATTATTTTTATCAAGCCTGCTTTTAGAATCAGGTTTAAATCTGGCTACGGTTTTTTTGCATTTATGTAGATATTGAATTTATTCGTAAAATGTGCACATCGTAATTATGAATACAATATACATGAATTAAAGTTATTTTTAGCAAACTTATTCTTTTTTCTTAATTGCCATAAAATGCCGTAACCGTTAAGTATATACAAAGAATAGACCATGTATCCAAATGAAAACGAGCAAGTTACTATTCGAGTCATGAATTGATCTTTTGTAAAAGATAACGAGGCTACTTTCATGTAAAGTCCGAAAACTGAAACATTTGTCATAATTTACTGTATTCAATTCAAGCTGCATTATTCTTTAGTCTATTTCCATAAGATAATATTTGTTGTTGATAGCATTTTTGTTCATTGAAACCAACGTTGAATTGCAATTTTTAACATAACAACTTTTGTTTACTAAAAAAAGTATGCTTTATGCCACAAAATATACTCTACCGCAAATGGTTTTTGGAATATTTGCTCGAAACAGTCACAACATTTTTAAAAGTCGATATCTTCCAAAGAAC